TCCCCTGTCGAGGGTTCAGTTTTTGTGGCCTGAGTTGGACGTGAGTCATCCTCTGATACGTATTTGGAGTTTCGTCTGACGATGGAAGCTGGTATATTATTTTTGTCCTGGGTTTTAGCCAGTTTATAATCCTTAGGAAAAATCCCCACAAAACACTTAAAAGTGATAAAAATTCATTCAGATTTTGCAATTTGGTGACGCATCCATCGGATACTTCAAGATGAGCTGACAGAGTTCCTCTGACAGCTGAAGACAGATGCTGGGACCAAACAGGAAGATCTAAAATCATGTAATGTACCACTGACAGACAGACAAAGGACAAAACATCAAGAAATCCTAGCAGTAGCTAGAAAAAGGCCAGATTAAAGGGACAGCACAGAGGCTCTGATCACTGCAGAGAAGAACAGGACCTAAGCATCAGATCTATAGATGCAAGAGTCTACCACAGCCAACAGGATTTTTGTTTATTGCAAAAGTTCACACATCCAGGCATCCACTGACAATTCAAGGACGAACCACATCAAACTGGGAATGCTGACTTGCATCTTAAACTCCTGGCTCTCAAAATGTGAGACTTAGAGGATGCAGAGTAAAGTCCTTAACATCAGATTAGAAAGTAAAAACAAAAAGATAGTTTTCATCGTCTCATCAGTGTTACTCATGGGGGGTAAATGTGCAGTAGGTCTCTCTTCGATTACAACAAAGTATGGTTCAGGACTGAGATGTGGAGAAACAAAACTGACTCTGCAGAGCGACTGACCAACATTCCAGAGGATGAGATAAGATAAGACAGTAGCGACTCACAGAAACATAGAAGCCAAACAATTAAAGTCAGTTTCATTTATATATCACAAAACCACAACAAAGTGGCCTCAAAGCACTTTGAATTGTAAGGTAAAGACTCTACAGTAATAACAATGATCCACGTGTGTGGATCTTTTTGCTTCACCTCATGGAATTGATTAGAATAGCCCTTTATTGCCATTGTACTAGAGTACAATGAGTAAAATGAGTAAAAAAACAAACTCAAACAGTTTTGTAAGCACATCCTGTTCCTATCCTTCCCCTCCGCCTCTCTGTCCTACTAAGAATCTGAGGTATAAATCATCTTCAGCAGTCTGAGAAAGGGAAGTGTCAAAAATTATAAGTAAATAAATAAAGTTATCTGTGCTCACAAGATGCACTCAAAGATATTTTTCCAATCGCCTACAAGAGTGTGGACAGACTGAGAAGACAGTCATCTCAATCATCAGTGAAAAACACGACGTAGTTAATTACAAAACGAAAATCCAAACACACATATCGCAAGATGCCCATTTCTAGGCATGAGCCGGACGTGTTGTTGTCTGAAGGTGATACTGATGCCAATTTGGCACGAATGGTAACGTAATCTTATTGAAATTTACAACATAGTGAAAGGTCTGTTATCTCCAGCTTAAAGCTGCGTCCACACTTACAGTGCTCAGGCAACCAGAGACCAACATTTGGCCACATCTTGCAACTTCTACTAACATGGCAATAAATAAACGTGAAAATAAATAAGAATAAATCAGCAGAAAAAATAAATAAA